CATCGAACGCGGCTGCCAGGACCCAGGCCCTGTAATCCCGCCTCCAGCAGTTACCTCTGCGGTCTCTACCTCGTCGTCAAGTCGCTCTATCTGGTGAATTCAACTGTACAGCTCTATGTGACCGGAAGGTAATGGAAAGCACCACCAGCACCAGCACCAGCTTCAAATTCTTCTTCTTTTTGTGCTTGTCTACCACTTCGTTACAAACTACGATGCTATTGCGGAAACCAGCATCGCAGTATAAGAGGTTATTGCACAAATTACTTTTAAGTTCGTACCAGGCGCCTAAAATTTTATTGAGTGGAGACACCAGGACAACACTCGCTAATCAAATGCCGAGTTTCACACACGTAACACCTAATGGACACCGATTCAAATAAAGTCCATAAGGCGATTTGAGATCTGTATACCAAACAAAATAACTAAAACGCTAGGTCTAAGTAGAAAGTAATGTCAAATGGCTAGTAGGTAGTAATAGGACAGCGTCACTTATCTATAGGAAGTGAACGCTCGCCCGGGTATCATGCGAATCTGCCAATGCGAAGTTAAGGACGCGCTTTGGCTCATATTCCCATCTGTTATGCCTCGTCCAATAATAGGATGCATGCCAGCTATTGATACATTCATAGGAATATATTACGAGAATATACTATCCGCTGGTATAAGTTAGTAGGATTAATAGAATTAGTACTCTTAGTAGTGGCATATTACCTGCAGCTGCAGTATCCTAGCCCAAACGTCTTAAAATGTGACACAGCTTTTGGTTGACAATGGTGAGAGGGTGGAAACCAAGGAAAGCCCTGACGTGCTCCAGGGCTCAAACATGTAGTTACTCGAAATAGCATAAACTCAGATTCATACTCCCTGCTGGGATTGAGGTTATATGAGTAAACGTTCTGTAAAGTCAAAGCTATAACTAAATACTGTAGTTGGCCTATAGGTAGTCTATAGACGGAAAACTTTACGGCATAAGGGCATGGTAGGAGTTGTACTATAATTAAATAATGCTTTATTTAACCCATAGACTAATCACTTTACCTCATACAGATTGTGAGTGCATACTGAGTGCCGACTTCTTAAAAACAGACACAGGCCGTGTTATAATATACTATTCGCTGGCCGTAGTAAGCATGATTACTAGAATTCACACTTTAGCATAGACACCTACTTCTAGTAGCAGTATCGTAGTCCGAATCTAGTACAAACAGACACAGCCTGATGGAGAGAGTTGAGTGGGTGGAAATCAAGGCAAGCTCTGTTGTGTTCATGCCCTCAAAAATGTACTTACTCGCAATAGTTTAAACTCGGCTTCACATCCCTTGTTGAGATCAAGAGGGTATAAGCTCCAGCGTTGGCTTTAATCAGCCTCACCTCTTACAAATGGTAGCGTCAGTGTTAGTACCAGTACTACTAACGCGCAGCTACACTGGTAGTCAGAAGTAGTAGAAATAGGAGTAGCCGTGTCAGTCTCGGCCTCTTTGGGCCTGTCTTCACACTTACTACGGGTGAGTGAGGGTAGACAGTACAGTAGTACCAGCGCAAAAGGCTACTGTCACTTAAGACCAAGTTAGGCGGTGTTTCTGGCCTGCATTGGTAAAAGGGGTCAACGCTGGATCCCGTTTGGTCTTCTTGACACCGAGCGAAGGTGCATAGGGCGGTTGGCACCACCTACCTCCGCCATCACTATTATCTGCCCCCTAAGCCTGTCACCAACCCGTTAATGCACATGATGGATTTCATCGAAATCGATGCTTGAACACACAGGTGGTAATAGTAGATGATGAAACGATAGCCGCGAAAAAATTTCTTGCAAGGACCTCGAACCTTCACGCATATATACTATACTTTGTATATCGTTAGACTCCAGATCTATTTGCCATAGTGTTTAGCGTTTTGCTTTCCATAGCCCTCATAATTTGTTATTTAGTTGTATTTATTTTCAAATTTCTAATGCCTAGATATCTTTTAATATCCGTCTTCTAATTGCTCTCTACACTATACCCATTTTCGGGGGAAAAGCTGTAAATAAATCAACAGTTGAAAAGATGAAGGGTCTGCCACACTGATGGTGTTCTTACCTATCCCCCTTCCGCCCAGCGAGTTCGCGTGAGAACTACCATCTGTTCAAAAACTTTAAATAACATTTATAAGCCGAGTTTGAGCACAGATGGTGTTCCGTGCTCCGTAAATATCCAAACGACGCAGTTTGAGTTCTGTCAGGGCTGTGAGGGGGTGTCTGCAACAGAGATCGGAACAAAAGTTTGAGGCAACAGGTCTTCTGAGGCAGATGGTCGACTTCTGATGTTTATTCTACAAAACAGAAGCAGATTTTGCATGCATGCTCGGCCGACCGGAGTCATTGCGAATCCTTATTTGTGTCTGTAGGATGACAGGTGGAATTAGCGGTGGCAATGGCCTACCGGATATGTGGTTTCAACCTGCATCTGGTTTATCCAACTCAGATTTATACTGAATTTAATTGTAATTCCAAATGAACGCACGCCGACGCACTCTGCTGGGTCATCCACTCCTATGAAAGCCAAACATTTATATCACTAAATTGAAAAGTTTAATCCGAAGGTGTAATTTTCTATTATCAGTAAGCCGACATTGGGCCTTACCACTTGAACCTCGGGGGATATATAAAATTTGCTTGAGTTCGAATGTCGTTCTTATCGACTAATCAACGGAAACTTTTCGGTAAATAAATATAGTGAGATCCCACCTATAAAATTATTACCACTCACCAAACCAAATCTAGCTGCTTACAACTTTTTGGTAAATTTTGAAGGGCTTGCATTGTTGCCTGATTGAAGGCTCGTGCTTATTAAGCTTCAGCCAAAGGCACTTAACATTGCCTTACTGTATGCTGTTGTAAGGATATTATACCTCTACGCCCTTTTTTCCCAGAAAACTATTCATATTCTAGCAAAAAAGCTGGTTTAAATAGTACGGTGACAGTAACGGTTGAAATCCCACAACAAAGCGGCAGAATCCGATACAACGGAACACATACCTGGTTGGACGTCTGCCCATCTTTCATGGTAGCTCTTTTCGGACTATTTTCTCTGAGTTGGTAGTTCTTGATCGAAAGGTCAAACATTCCTTAAAATATAATGAAATAAAGACCAGCATCCCAAGAAATATAATTCGAAACAAGTTCTTTAAGAACGAAACAAATTAACTGCGTGCCGTACCAAGCCGTCCCAGCTCGTCGCCAGACTAACGGGTGAAGTAAAAAAAAACATTTAATTATATAACTCTTGCTTAGAAACAAAACTGTGCTCGGCCGAAACTTGCACCAATAGGCATTAACCGTTACTCATCATCCGGTCGGTATGCGCTCGTTTGCACTTGACCTTGAGCTATTTATGCATGGTATCTAAATCGACGTCTACTGATGCATGCCACATCTAAGTGCAATGCCTCTAAGACTTCATTTCCTTTACTTATTGTGCCCAGTTTCTAGTATGCGCATGGTTAATTGGGACAGGTAATTTTCTCTCTTCACCATTAGCTGATACTGCTGTATACGGGCTATATACGTACCCCAAATAGTATCATTGCAAAAATGACAGCTGCCAGCCTCTAGCTCAGAAAAGTGATTGGCACGTTTCCTCGCCCTCCGTTTTTTCCTTATCTGCTTCTGTCTGGTCGCATTACTAGGAGAACTAATTGGCCAGATTGAAAGAACAAACCCGGTGTGAGGGGTGGCTATTATGTAGCGTCCCTAGGGGGATGCAGATTGATGGTGGACTAGAACTGATAACTTCCTTTGACATTTTATCTGTTATTTATCCAAATACTAAATGCAGAATCAGATACTACCCTATTAGTGGTGATGGTCACCATTATGCTATTATGCCGGTTAAGCCTGACGAATTAGCCCAGTCAACTTGTAGAAATACAGTCAGTTACTTTGGTTCTACATCGGTTAGACAAATTTGCCGCAAATTTTCCATTCACGGGAGTTGCACAGTCTGCTGATCTGACTTAAAAACCGCATATCATTTCGAATGGCATAGACAGCCTCTTCGGGATATTACTTTTCTGCACATATTTACTTAATTTGTTTGTAAGGACACAATGGACGCAAGTTACCTTGTCAAAGGCAGTTTGAAAAAAGTAGCTCGTGAAGTGTACCTTGGATACTTAAAGCCCTGGTCTTCTGTCTTACGAGACTGGTGGGATTGGGGGTTAAATGGGTGGGAACAGCGGATGGAGGAGAAAGGGACTTTTTAAAAATAAGAACGAAGTCGTGACATTTTGTTGAAATAGTTTAATACGGCGGCTATATAGCGACGACGCTGGCGCATAAATCGAAAAAAGGTGCGAAAAACAAATCGAGCTCGAGTCGAGGTCGACAAATCTGGGAATTTCGACTTTTATTTTTCAGCCTAAAACCCAGTATTAATGGCCTTTTATGAAGACTTTTTGTAATATGGAGCCTTTATTATTAATAATAGTAACATCTGGTAAAAATATTACTGTACAAACGTATAAAATAGTAATGTTCAATGTTTAATATTATAATTCTGAAATTATTAGGTAATCCTACTCCGATCTGTTTCAGGATGTACCCATCCTGTCATGTACTCCTGTCATTGAAATTCCTGTGACTGGCTGCTGTAAACGACCGGCTGTGTTCTGGTTGGCCTACTTAAGGGCTAAATTGAAGTAACCCGTATATTACTTCTAACTCCCTGAGTTAAGAAATGTGTATGTATCATTGGCGGGTGTTCGCTGACCTTAGGCGAGGTCACTGAGGTACATTTTTTAATCTCATCACTTACCCCTACTGGACCAACGGCGGCCGCCGACTTAAATGATAGGCATAAATACGCCTACTGAAAATGAATATAGTAGTTATTTTGGTGTTTTTTTTCAAAAAGGCAACTACACATGGATCTTATATACCCTAAGACCCAGAACACTGTCGTACGGGACTGGTGACCCTAGGCCCGGTATACAAAGTCAATTAAATGTTTACTACTGTAAACTTACTTCTACAAATTTCCTTCACTGTTTATCCTATTTCCCCACCCGCAAAGCCTCTAGTACCACCAGTCCGTAAGACAGTATCCTGGAGCTTAGGGCATATAAGATCCGCTACTTAAACTATCTTTGCCGGGTACGCTTCCTTCGTTTCTTTCGATACAGGTCGTTTATGTCAGTCTAGAGACAATAAAGGACAGTAGTCAACGGAAGAGCACTTACTGTTATGCAATCTTATATACCATTTTTATTACTCTTTTCAAATTGTTGAGGTCGGAATTGAAGTTTAGCCACAGGCTTTAAACAGCTAATTTTCTAGGAGCTCGCGAGGTGATCGGTCCTGAAAAACGATTGCAACATTTATAAAGGTACCAATTTGTGTGATTATTTTTCCAACTACTTCTTATCATCATTTTTCGAATCCCCCCTCAGGTACCTTCATGAGGACGGCTTTCTTTTTGGAATAAGCACACTGGTCGATCTTCTTAGCACGAGGCTCTGGGATCACACAGGTTCATTTCCACGTGTGGCTCTATGTGATTTTGAACTTCGTCGAATGGGCAGCAACCAACACCGGTACACTATTCAGTGTGTCCTACGCGTCAATATTTTCAACGAAAAGATTTACATATTCCTCTGGTTTTGGTTTTTCCTGATATCTGCAGTCAACCTTCTCAGCCTTCTTAAATGGTCTTACAGGTAAGGGAATACCCGGTAATGTACAATATCAGAGGTCAACTTAAAAGTTTAGCTGGATTTGATATTATGCACTAACATCTGAAGTTATTAGCCTTAAATGTATTATTCTGTACAATACCTTAAGGGATTGTCATTTTCAAAAATAAAAGCATTCACTATTAATGTACATATAATCAAAAGTAGAATATAAACAAACGTATGCGTGAGTCTATAACGTACGTTCAAACGTTCATAGTTTCGTTATTGCTTTCGCATTTTGTTTTTAAATGTGCCTAAAGAGCATGGTTTTTTTCGCTTTACCTGTATATAAATAAAAGAGTTAGGATAGTGTGGTCACCAGTTTGATTGATTATCCAGGATGCAGTAAGATTAAGGCCAGAATTAAGAACTATTCCTACGTATCCAACATTACATACAGTGATCACTAGGCTGAAACACATCTCGTGGGATATTTTACTTTTATTTCTACTTACTAAGTTACAGTAGCACTTTATATTTAACTGTTTAAATGTTCAATAATTCGTCAGTCATTTGATGACGTATGATTCACCAAACCTAAACGTATATCAGGGCATACTTCCCGGCTGTGCATGTCCTATTTTACTTTGTCTGTCTCCTTGAAAAGTGCTAAAGCTTAGGCATTTATTCAAACCTCATGAATGAAATTCAGATAGTCAACAGAACAAAACGTTTCATTGGTCATACAGTAGCCGAAACATCAGTCTGCATTCCCCGCTGCTACCAGTGCCGAGCCAAAGCTGTAAAAATCTAATCCTAAAAATCCACTTTTCTTTGTACTGGCCAGATAAAGCGGATTTTCGTGGAAGGAAAAATTAATAACCACTGTGAGAGCCGGAATCCCAGTTACGCTTGCGCCAATAGCTTCTTTTCAGATAAGAGAACCTAGATTTACATAAATCAAGGACTTCAAACATAGTTGTTCTTTCACGTATAAGAATCAGAATAAATTTGCTGCCCTTCAAATGTTTTAGAGAAATACTCTAGAAGTAAATGGGTTCACTCTGAGATTTACTTCAGACCATTTTAAGAGACATAAAAAGAGCAACTATTCGTGCTATTTACATATGATGTAAGGAATAAATTAAGCTTGCTCTCGCTCTCCTTTCTCATTTTTTGAAAACTAAGCCTTTTTTCGGCAATAGGATTCTCTTCAAGTCTGTGAGACTCGCTTTCGTCCGAAATCTGATCTGCATTTACTTGAACATCTCGCTGACCAACGGAAACCGCTTTAACCTGAAGAGTGGACAGGTAGTGTCACATGTTGGATAACGCATTCAAAAATGTCGATTTTAGGGAAAAAACAAAAACGGTCAACCACAATTTGCCGACGACTCCGAGCTGACTATGGCAGACTGCTTCAAAACACAAGCCGAAAAAGCTCAATCAAAGTGTTTTGTTGAAGACATTTTGGGTCAGGATGGTGTCTTTCTGCTGCGCTTTGTCTCCATGAATGTTGGTCCAGCTGCGGCCGCGGAAATTGCTGGTGTCTTTTGGACAAAGTACGGCAAAAGTGTGAATCCCGAGGTTTTTGGTCGTTTCGGTATGACTGCAGAAAGTACAACTGTACCTACTTCGCCACCGGTGCCTCCCAAAAGATCCACCATAGCAAGCAGTCGACTAAACGCCCAAATGGAAGGTGACATCTGTATCCCTCTGATAAATCTGCATTCAAAAAGGCATACTGACGCAGTAGACTCAGATAAATCCTCAAGCTCCTCGCGACCGACCGTGGAAAATCTTCGACGCAGAAGACGTCATCATCGATGGCAAACTCCCGAATCATTCGACCGAAACTCACCTGCGCTAGATAAAACTGATCCATATGTTGATGATCAGTACACGGATGAACAACAAGTGGAAAATGAATTCGATGACATGTTCACGTAAGAGTGGAGTTTGGGACCATACGTACTCATACGCCAGTCTTGCTCTATGCTTCCAAAACTTCCCAAAGAAAGACCAATGTTTACTTCCCTAAATAAATAGTTCTGTCCCAGATAAAACTCAAACAAAAGAAACTAACAAGAAAAAATAAGGAAGCAGTTTTTTGGCCGAAATTACGTTGAGTACCCTGCATAGGACTGCAATTGGTATGAGAGCATGGCGACTAGGTAGGTACTCCAGCGAATTGCGATGCTGGTGGTGGCAAGTCATCTGCAGAGACAATCCGACAACTGCGAGCGACTAAAACCGAAGTGAATTATGCGATAGCAAGCGCTCAAGGAGCGAATGAGAACAGAAGCTTTAGTAAAGAAGAGGAGACGCGATCTCTGGAATGGCAACTGCATTGTTCTGAGCTTTCGGCTTCACACAAGAGGCCATCGTCAGAGAAAATGGGAAAGCAGCAAACATTGGCTACGCGTAAATGGTAGTGGGGGGTGGCATTCTTGATTGGTCCATGTTCACACCATCTCATCTTGTCTCCCCTGCACACGTACTTGGTGTTGTGGCGTGCGACCTTGGCACCGTGTCTTGCGTCCTTGGCGTGGCAGCCTGCGTACCTGGACAGGAACTGGGCCGTGGTTTCTGATCGAGAGCACGAAGGGCAAAATAACAGGGCAGTACATCCACACGCCTGTCGATAGAGTTGGAGTCTGATACTCAGGCCTCAAGTAGTTCTTGTCCCGTCTTCTTAGCGGCGCGTGCAATTATCCGCGTGCCTATGAAGTCGAATTCGTGGCCTTCTTCCTGAGTGTAAGTAGCGAGCTGGGACAGTGGGTCACCTCTCCACACTGCCCGTTTGTGCTCCGTTATTCGCGAGCTAAGTCGTCGACCGGTCTGCCCTGTATAATGGTAAGACAGGTCGCAACATGGTATTTGATAAACGACGGCAGACTGCTCTACTACCTCCTGTAGGTTATTCATTTGCATGATCCGAACAATACAATTGCCGTTTTAGAGATCACGTCTTATTCTTCTTTAAAACAAGCACTTGGAGCAAGCATATCTGCTTCTATTCGTGAGAAGCCTTACTATCTATAGATACTTTGATATCGTTGAGTAGCTTCACCCTGTGTCGGTCGGTCGGTCTGGTCGCATGTGCTCTCATGCGCTCGTGCTTAGCTATACTAACAAGAATTTGATTTAAATTGCTTTTGTGGAGCAGATAAGAAGCCAATGGCGTGACAATGTTGATTACCCTTCAGTGGATAAAGAGGTTTTTCATATGTAAAATAAAAATAGGACAAACTACGAAGAGATTCATCTGTGCTCTAAGCACACCGGGGACCGTATCAAACCGGAAATCATAAATGACACAAAGTTTCTAGTTTTAATCGAAAATCCGCATACCTGCGCCATACACCTAACTGGTTTTAGTTAGTGGGGGTCAACTAACTGCATGTGTACACAAGCCCCTGGATTACTGTTTCTATGCTTGTACTCAATATTACTTTGTCATCAACCCAGCGAGGAACTTAATTAAACTGTTTTCAAAGAAGGAACTAAAAAGGGGCCTTGCCCGTTAAATTTAAATTGGAAGTCGTAGTTCAAGTCATTTATGCACTTTTAGAAATAGCATTAAACGTTTATATAAAAGTCCTTTGAGTAAACAGCTTTCTGAAAACCAAAAGGCCCATATTCTCAGAGAAAAAGGCAGTTCAATACACCCACTTCAATCTTTATTTTTCAATTATTACTGAGGAGGAGGTCCATGCATATGTGAGACTGTTATGATTTTGTCCACAAAAAGGCTTAATGGAAAGGGGGCGGAAAGCTCTACTCGGCCGATCCTAGAAACTTGCATTGGGAGTGAAATCAGGAGAAAAGTAGAAATACAAAAACAAAGTGATACAAACACTAAAAGAGTCAAGTAAATAAGGGCTGCATGCAGTCCAAAGGGTTGCAACAATTTGAAAATGGATGACAAACAAATAAGTGCTTGCTCGGACTTCTGGGTGACGATGGAATTGCCGATATTCCTTAGGATGGTGCCCCTGTTTTGAAATTTATAAATAGTTATCGTTTAAGAAATTTGTGATTTGTGCTGGGTTACTCAATAGTTATGACATTTAATTCAATGAACGGCGAATTCGGCCGTCCGGCTACGAGACTTAAAGCTGTCTTTTTGACTATTAGCATCAGGATCAATAACATTAGCGAAATTAAACCTATTAATAAGATAAGAATTGTACCCGCATAGAAGGTGACCAATAGTCCTGATGAACATACCCCTGCCGGATGCCAAAAATAATGCTCTCACCAGTGATCTAAAACCTTCCTAAAATCTATAAGACTGCCAGAGTTCAGTTATACGAAAAAGCGTCACTGTGGAGTCGAACGTAAGTATGTGCTTTCACTAGTCAATTTCTCTCATACACAATTAACTACCCGTTCGCGTCCGGTTCTCTGAAGCGCCTAAAACATGTAAGCATCAGGCACTGATTGGGGCATTTAAGGCCTTGGTTTATAATTCGACAGTGGTCCAATATTTTTTCGCATTGTTTCTGTCACCCTGCTTTCGAACTTTGCCCTTTTCATTTAATCTCTCCTGCAACAATTAGCCACTGTTTGCAGCATTGTTCGAAGAAAGCGGACACTTTCTCACCTTAACAACAACTGAGGAGCCGTCAAAAGTCGTGCTTAAAAGTACCTTTAGTCCAAAGGCGGATACCGCAAAAAGGCAACATCATGGGGCCTTGTCCAGTTGTGAACTTCTATGTGAAAAGCTAAACGATGATTGAATTGTGCCATTCAAAAGTGACTGAAACAAAGTCCCTCACCGATTGCTTCGACTTAGCCCCTTTTTAGTCTGCTCTGTCAAATGGGCGTATGAGTAATTTATTACTGTTTACTTGGAGGACACGATGTGGTCCATTTTTATGAATCTTTTTCACCTGTCTTTCTTATAATGCCGAACTAAAGCATCAATCTTCGAAGTATCCAATTCAAGACCAGCATCCTCACGGCGCAGACTGCGTGAGTAGCCAAGCCACTGGGTAGGAAACACTTAATGATGTACTATGACCACAACTTCCCCCATAAGTACTTTTCTCCTTTTTTCAGTCAGTGATTGTTCTGCAACCAAGTTGGATCGTAAATTCTTATTTTAATTTGTGTTTCGAGTGCATATAAGCATCATCACAAGATCTAGCAAATAGAAAATTCAAAACTCACCCAAGTTGCGGATATTGATCCCATGGGTTTTGATCAGCAACAGCAGTTGAGGTGGTCTGAAGTAAATGAAAGTAATAACAAAGGTTCTTACCGATAAGGCCGGCTGTGAGGCAAATTGGCCCGAAAAACTTTGTTTGGTGCTCCTCATGTGCGACTCGAAAATTTCGCATTTTTCTTTGGTTACAGGAGAGCACTGTGGTTCTGTGCTGCTGCTTGTGAAAAACGGACCTCGTTGTTTGCTTGGGATAGTTACTCCCTCGATAAGGATTGCATCCATTAACTCTTCAGCGATATTTGATGTTATATTATCGGGGGGTAGCATATGTGCCGCAAAACATTCGCTGTGTGATCGTCTGTGAACTTGAAGAGGACATCCACTAGTAGATAAAAGAATTATAAATTTGAATCAAAAGAAGGGACAGGTAAATATTAGCGTAAATGTCATGCGTAGAAGTTTAACAAATGGAATACTAACAAGAAACACATGCCAAGAACTAATTTTTTGTGAAAATGGTGATAGATAGCATTAAGTAATAATAAATAACTCAATCTCATTCGCCCGCGGTCTACGTTGTAGTAAGAGGCAAAGTTTTCGTTTTCATATAGTCATTTGGCTTTTGTTTAAACGTGACACGCTTCGGTAACAAATACCAGTTGCGCGTGTTTTATTCTTTGTGGTGTAACTCAGCCTTCTCGGGCCCGTCCTTATGTCTTAAATCAGCACTTTACTCTTAGCAAACATGTTGCTTTCTGTTAAAGTGTTCAATGTATTCCGTTCCGCTTTTTATTTCTAAGGCTGTAAGGGGCACAACGCATAAGTTTGTGGTCCAAATGTCAGTTTCACTCCAATCACTTAGTTCCAGCATTTTCCATTTACGGACATATGTATCCACACACCAAACAAAGTTATATTTTTTCCGTTGTGAGGATATTGAATTATCTCCTCACTTTGACGGCGACGGATGAATATTTATAGTGTCGGGATAATTCAGCGTAATCGTAGTATATGGAAAAGTTTGTATGTGGCAGCTGATATGCACAACAGCAACAACAAAAGACTTTTAGGCATATCATTCAGATCCAGTCATTCCTACTCAGTGTGCAGCTCTTACTCTAGTTGCACTTGCCAATGTCCCAGCCAAAATAAGTTCCTCTTATGCTACAACGGACTTTAGTAAACTGGGTCCAAAGCAGCTAAGACATGATACTTATTGCAATCAAAATACTCATTTATAATGCTGCGCACGCAGTTATGTCCACACAGCCTTCAAATATCCATAAAAGTTAACCGGAAATATTTAAAACACTCAGCAAGTATGTCTGCAGTTAAAGGACAGTCACGTCACCTGATTTGTTGGCGATCATACTGCAATGGATGCACCGTTTTCTCGAATTCCTTTTTCTCGGCAACAGCAAACTTTGCAAAAAGCATAAACCGAATTTTGCATCTTACCACAATCTCATCTTGCAAATCTTTCATTCGACATTCTACGGTTTCAAATTTCTCTTGAATCTGGCTTAAACATTATTTTTATGAATGAAGGTACAGGTACCGATTCAACCCTTTCTCTGAGAATTTCGACCTTATTGTCGAAAGCTGACAATGTTGCCTGCGCAAAATATGAAGAAAAGTTGGAATACCATCTGCCTTAATTGTTCCTCCTGCGCACTTTCAAGACAAACATACTGCGACGAAGCAACATTCTGAAGGTGTTCTGTCTAAAAAAGCAAAAAGAACAGGTTACCAGCAGCAAAATTTTAATGACACCCAA